GCGTCGCCATTGTAGAAAATATCTCTCAGCACTTGCGTCTCTTTGGACGTGACCACGCTGCCTGCGCGAGTGGTAGGTACACCCAGTGCATGCATGTTCTCACTGCAGAGAAATTCTCTCAACGTTGATCTCAATACTTTACGGCCATCGGCTGTTCTCGAGTAGGGAGTGAGTCCGGAGCCCTTAAGTTGCAGCTCCCACCTCTCGTCCACAGCCACCACTTCACCCAAATAGAGGGCGGCTCCATCTCCTAATTGGCCTGAGAAGAAGCCAAATTGGTGGCCGCAGTAGCACTGGGCGGCAGTCTCAGCGCCAGGTAACAGAGTATTTCCAGCTAGAATCGGCACCAAGGTCTCAATTGGCTGTAAATCGTCGCCTTCACCGTTTACTCCTTCGTCTTGACTCTTGCTATCGCTCTCGTTTAGCTCAATGCCGACTAGAAGAAGCGAATTAGGGGAGGTGACGACCAACTCTGGACTGGCGATGGGTGTGGGATCTACCCGAGAGAAACAAGCGCCAGATACGGCACTTCGCACGAAGTTCTTGGGCTCTGTATCGATAGGCAACTCTCGCAGTACGGCATTGTCGAACCTAGAGCTGGGGAGGCGTCTCCAGCTGCTGAAGGAGCGAGAGAGACTGCCACGACCGCTGTTGGCCATGCGAGTCATCATGGGAAGAAATGCTACAGTTAGCAAAAGAAAAATGAGGCTGTCATAGTTAAGCTAAGGTCTTTCAAATGTGAATTTTCGATAGAGTTGCTGTAGAGCAATGCTCAAAAAAAATATTGGGTTGTTCCTGAAACCTCAAAACATCAAAGTCGCATTTTAGCAAAGACGCGGCGTTGAGAAATTGCTACATGTGGACCAATGCATCCGAAACTCAATCGTGTTAAGGTATCAAATCGCATTGGGGAGCATTTTACCTGTACCGTGTTCTCTACAGCGCTTCCTTTTGCTGGGTACTAAAGTATTTAACAGAGCTATTCAAATGCACCACACAGCAGTAATTGCCGTTCGGTTTAGCCACCGACAACGACAGGTAAGTGTATGTGAATCGACCAATTGCTTCTGCTGAGCCTCGGACAAATTTGGCTAAATGGGATGAGTCGACCTAAATAAAAAGTGCATGATGTCCGTTTTGATTACGCATCCTCTGGACCATATTTATGGTTTTGAGGTTTCAAGAGCAGCCCATTCAGGCAGATCGAAAGAGCATACAGAATTTAACGACAGTGAAAATAATTCTTTTTATATTTAGCTGCAGGTAATCTCAAATTTTAAGCTTTACAATTTGCTCTTAGAATCCACTGATTCCAATAAGAAGACTTAAGAATCCTATCCCTGGCCAACGGTCATCATCCGCTATGGCTCGAGTCATCTTTTGGCGCAGTTAGAGATCGTCTGCGTAGGT